ATCATCATTTCCAGAGTAGGACCGTGGACGTGGTACATTCCCAGACATTTCGCCGGCATCGTCAGTGAGTTTCGCCATTCGTAGCACCATATTAAAACTCGTCAAAGAGACAGGTGAAGCCCATCGTTTGACCAAACGTGTGTTAAACAGGTGTGGTATCTCCCCTTCTGCCCTGGGCTATTCACATTTCCTACATCCTCCTATCATGCCTTCCCTGTCACAATTTTTACCTTGCTTATTTTTAATTTAGTGTGGTGTTATCCTTCGAGCGGCATTCATGAAAACCCTTCACACTCCACGCTAGGTGCGTTCCTCTAAGTCTTCCTACCAATATGACCAAGTTGCGAAAACAATGTCAAACAACTTCTAAAGTTACTATGATTGGGTTTATGAGAGCATATAAGCGAATTATAAAGTAGAGGAAGCTGATTGTAAAAATAAATCAGCAAATAAGGGGGGAAAATATGGCAGAAATAATAGGAGAATTTGGGACATTCACAAAAATAATAGTCTCACCTTTGAAAAGAATGGCTAAAGTGACAGCTTTCTGGGATTCTAAATACCAAGTGGTTGATAAGACTCGGCAGGCCGCCATGCAGAAGCGGAGCATCAATTTAAGCTGCTGGCCTGATGGTTGTGACTGTGTGGAGCTTCCAGAAGATGTGGTAGCAGAAGCGGAGGCAACAGCTGAAGCCGCGGCGACGGCGGCAGCTGCAGCAGCAGCGGAAGCATTCTGTCCACCCATAGCTTGACAAGATTTTACCGACCCCGTGTATGGGGCCCCGCCCGAGCCCAGGCTGGATAAAGAACAATAATTGCTGATTGTGGCAGCCTGAAGTATAGAGATGTTTTGAAGTTGAATCTCGAGGAGACTACGCAGATCGTCCAGAAATTGTGCGTCTGAAGGACAGCCAGATGGGTCAAGACGGAGTATGCCGACTCCGCCAAATGCGAAACCAGCGGCATCCTCGTCGTCGGATAGTCCGACGTCAGTCAAGCAGATGAATTCCCCGTTGTTGACACCACCCCAGCAGGACCAATAGTTTTGATTGTAGCTGGCAATATTTAATCCCAAGTTGCTATCCGGAGAATGCCACATGCGTCCATAAACGCCGACTGTCGCCTCATTGACTGGTTGACCCAGGTAGCTGGTCGTCGGGAAGCCTGGCATTCCAATGCAGCTGTTGAAAATCGCCGGCACATGGACAGTAGAAGAAGCGTTTCCTGGGCCTGTAGCTGCCGATTCTGCTGTTATAGCTGAAAGGCCAGCATAAAGTAGGAAAGTTCTACGTCGGCTCATGCCTCCAACACCAAGATGACTAGTTTGGGAGATACCGTGGGAACGCTTTCCTGATACTTGGTTGTACTCTGTCGAAGGAATGCCATTTTCATTAAAGTCTACCTCAGGATGACTGAAGAAGTAGTTCAGCTCCTAAAGAAGTGAAAATAGTGAAATATAATTGATATTTGTAGAAATAGGGAATAAAAACGAATTATTCGACATGTATAGTTGTGGATGGTATATTTTTGGAAAGAAATCTTCTTTCTTGACTAGTTAGCTTTAGTTAAGTGTAAGAATGATATCTGTAATAGAATAGACAAAGGCCTAGCACGTTTACACCAAAATGTGAGAAAATATTTCGTCCATAATTAGGCGCTAGGGGCTACCAGTATATCAGATATGTGAGATGTATTCACCCAAATTCGTTAAGGTAATGAAGGACTGGTAGTTAAATCTTTTCACAATGAAATGAGTTGGCCTCACGTTTCCATTGAATTTCGCATAGCCCTGATTCCCAAAAAGTATTCTCATCTAGGCTGGACAGAACTACCGTTTCGATCTCGTCTGAAATGGTCTCATCAGCACTTCTAGCTGGAGTTAAAACCAAATTATGGTAATGAATCATATAGTGTTAACATGTTAACCACTACTCCACGCTGTTACAATTGCCCTTGGGTCACATGATAGGAATTTCAAAGAAGGTTATGCATTTTTCCATATGAAATAGTGATGGGATTGTCGATGACACAAAGTTCTATTTGCTATAGCACTAAACTACATTACTTTTTTTATTTGTAGTCTAGAAAACTTACTTGAAAACGAAAAATAAGTAATGTGCTCGATTGCTCGAAGAAGCCAACAAAATGGAGTGATCTGGAGTTTGCAACATAAACTTCAAGGACTGTGAACAGAAATACTTCGGAGACGCGAAAGGCAATCACCACAGGGATCAAAGGATACCAGCGACTATTCCCTAACATAATATCCATGATAATTTCCAGTGTCGGAGAGGAGACTTCGTATATTTCCAGAAGGTTCACAGATAGCAGTCGGCAGCATCAATGAGCCGTGCCACCTTTACTGTCACGTTGCAACTCGTCAAGTAAAATCCAGATAGAGGAATATTCCCATAATGATATTAGTAGGCCTTACGTTCTTATTGAATTTCCCATAACCTTTCTACCCAAAAGATATTCTCATCTAGGGTGGACTAACGATTTGACTTCGTCTAGGTATCATCAGCACACACAGGGGGACTAGAACAGTGATAGTGCAGCGTACAAGCTCGATATGTTAACTACTATGCCACACTGCCACGAGTAACCTTCGGTCATGGGACAGAAGTGAACTTCAACGAAAGAAAATAAATAAGGGCTCTTATATAGGATCTTTTGGTAGATCTATATCCTCCTATCACCGTTTCACTATCATAATTTCTTACATAAGTATTTAAACGTGATTCTGTTGTGCCTTTTAGAGCCTATTTAGTGAGACCTATTCCCACTTCCCGCTGTTTCCTTCATCCCCCCCACCGCTGAGAGTGTCGATCCAAGCCTGTCCTTTTAGTCCGCAATCCATTTCCTTCAGGTACTATCAGAACCTTCCTCTTGCTCCGTAGGATCCGACTCTTATCGCCCTGGTTTAGTGATTTCACTTGATCACTGCAACCATATCAACGCTACTCGAGGCGTTATGATATAAACGCTGTCATACGCCTAATTAAACACGTATACTCCCGCCTCATTAAGCAGGAC